CCCAAAAAATAAAAATCAACGAGAAGGGAAATTAAGAGCAACTCACTCAAGATGGTCTGTAAGGAGTGGATTTTCTTTCCCATCATCACGATGAAGTTGTTCCAAATTTCCTCGGTAATTGAGATGCCTCTTCCGCGCCGCGGCAATCAAGGTACGTAGCATAGTCGAAAGAGGACTCGGCTGCAGTCGACGAGGGCCGTAGAAGGGGAAACCACAAAGAAACCAAAGTAAACCTATTACTATGGCAATGGCTGATCTCAAAAAACGCTGATGCCATTCATCTTCAAAATAGATGAAACCATAAACTGATGTTATGATTCCCAGCATCATGAATCCGATGCCAAACCATCTGATTATTCTCTGCTGCAACTGCCGCCAGCCTCCTATTCTTACTTTGCACAAGCAACAGGCGACTTTTAGTCTTGTTTCTTCACAGTGTTCTGGTACTCTTACAACCTTGGTTTGTTCAGAAGAAAGGGAGTAAAGGGGAATAACTTGTGCAGCCCCACCAACAATCAGAAGAGCTAATCCTTCCCAGAAAGGTGAATGTTTCAACTTGTTAAAGTACTGAGGCACTGAGAATGCTAAAAGGGCAAGTCCCTGCATCACACTCGATAGAATCAACATCCATTGATAACTAAGGGAAAGATTATTACTTTATTTTTTCTTTTTCTTTTTGTTGTAAATATCTTACAGTAGAATATAAAACACTAGATAGAATCAACATCCATCGATAACCAAGGCAAGCATCTACGCAGAGAGCAACGCATATCTGCAACATATGCCTTAGACCTTCTTGAAGATTGACGATTGCTGCAGCTTCTATTAGTTTCAGTTTCCAGAGATCTGTGAGGAATGTCATAAGGTTATCCAGCACATAAGTCATCATTCCCTTGCTGAAAAGCATACCTATTGAGACCGGAGGAAATTTTTTGGGGTTAATATTTAGCAGGAGAATTTTGGATAACTTCTCTTCGACTTCCTCAACATGCATATAGACACATCAAAAATGATTTATATGGAATTTCTTAAGGGCAAGTTGTTTTCAACGAGAATAGATTAATTAAGCAAATGATGAAATACCGTAAGTGAATATGACCAGTCGTTCACGCCATCTGAACCATCTTCGGAGTGCATCACATGTTGTCATTTTTGCTCTGAAAAAGCTTTGTGCTTATAACTTGCAATGTCGCCCTTGCCTTGTTTGAGCTTGCCGTTGAAGGAAGCAAAACATAAAGAAACAGTTTTGAGTTCTAAGACAGCAGAGACGTCAACCATTTTTATAGTAACTGATCCGCGTTTTGAAACTCTGTCTTCCTCCTCTTTGTCTTGTTTTTTTTTTTTT